TAATTGAAGTGTATGCTCATGGCCTTTACCATTCCAATCATAGGAAATAGAATAAGCCAAAGAGCGCCAACAGAAGATGTTATTGCTTCATACAGTCTTCAGTAGACTGTCCAATAAAACTATAATTTCTGTTGACGCTCTTTAGCTTAGCAAAACTGAAATCATTCTATTAACTAGGTTCGCAAATGAAACTTTAAAACTTCTGCGAGAAATGTCAAATTCTAACATTTTACCAAATGAAAAGACATCGCTGGCAGTAGTTTCGCTATCACCGTTGATAACTTCCGGCGCTAAATAGCTTTCGCATTGCACTTGTAGTAGTAATGATATGGCTTCTTTCACTTACACCACCGTATGTTCATTTTGTCTTTAAAATTTTAAGAGTTTCTACTCTTTGAGCAAGCACATGCTATCAAAGCACCATGAATCTGATGTTCAGAATTTTGTGCCAGTCTTTAAAGATACGGAATCAAACATTGATGCACTTCCCTTGGTCGTAGCCTTATCTAAAAGCGACAGAATATTGAATTTATCATTGAAAATTTTATAATACAAATCTGCCACTATTCCTATGTCAATCAATTCAAATTATAATTATGCATTCTCATAAAGGATATACGCTGTTTTTAAAGCCTATGTTGTTGAATATTATTTTCCATGTTTGAGATCATAAAAGCAATCCTATTATAACATTCAAGCACTCTGAAAATGATTCCTTGATGCTTCCATTAGAAAGCAATTTCAATGGAAAAGAAAACTGGTAGCCATATTCCATGGCAGTCTGTTGAGCTAAATAAATTATGGAGACATTGAACTAGATGCAACTCTTTCAGAAATAAGCTCCTTCATGACAGCTTTCCTCATTTTGGAGCTTTCATGAAAGGACCAATGAAAAATTGGAATGCCAGAGCTAGCATATTGTACAATGTCCTTTGCAGCATATATTACTCCAATTCCACAGCTTGAACTTCCTTCCCCAGCTTAACAAACAAACGAACAAAGCTGTAAGAAACAAACAAACGAAACACAAATTAATAAATAGATAAGTAAAAAAACAAGCATATACAGTAAATAGATGACGGACAGACAATTTCTGTACTATTCTATTAATCAAATTTATACCTACCCCCCTATGTTGGCTTTTGTCATGACAAAGTGTTCAATGCAAACTTCTTTGGGGCCAAGGCCACATTCAGTGCATAACTATAAAGCAAGACAACAAAGTTGAATTCTTGCATTTATCTATGTCACAAACTATGTTGAGGAGTAACAGTCCTTTTGCTTTTAGTTTTTTGCCCTCTGTGTACTCTCAACAAACTTGAGTCCAGCTGTAGTTTACTAACAGTATTTACAAAGTACAAGACTGAACATGCCCTGAGTGCATGACAGAACATGCAAAATTCACCAAACCCCTTTCCACCCAGCATGAAATTTGCATCATTCTTCTTTGGAAGCAACAAGTAGAAATCTTTACAGTCAAGGACTACTGTAAAAAGACAGACATTGGGTCCAACATTTGAACATTGATTACTGGGCACTTTTCAAAATATAAATTACACAGTCAGGATGTAAATTCAAATCCCCTAACATCTATAGTTGACATAGCTATACCTTTGAACTTTATCTTGTAGAGTTTTCCATCTACATAAATGCCATTCCTCTTTATCAAATCCTTTTGTTTGTTGAAGTCTTTCACCATAGTCTTGATGCTTTCTCTGATTTACAATATACAAATCAGAAAATGAATAATGTACTTTTTAGCTCTCATATTTTTGGAACATTTACATACCTGTTTTCTTCAATATTAGCAACACGAAGAGTGTGAACAGCCAATGCACTTTGGTATAATTCCAATAGTTACTTGATCTTTTCCTTTGTAAAGGAAACAAAAATGACAAATAAGATAAGAAAATTACACTCAATCAAAGTTTGTTTGAATAGACCTGTTGGCACTGCGAGTCCCATACTTGATTTTATTCCATACACATACGCAAAGCGTACGGTAAAGACTAGA